GATCTGTCCTTATATCTATCTTCTATTTTCCATTTTTATTTCTTTACTTCCCGAGCTAAGCTGGGGAAATATTGTAATAGGATCCACCCCATAACCGGCTATTTTTTTAATGTGCTCTTAAGAGCTAATTCGTACTGATCTGTTGGGACTACCTGAATGATTAGGTATACATGGAAGACATCTTAAATGTCTCTGATTGTTCAGGTGCTAGATAGGAAATTATGTTTTTACCTTCCGAGGTCCATTTGACTCGTGGCTACTTTAATGTTTTTTCAAATAGAGTATGAAAGTTGAGTAAAATTAAGAACTACCCACTATTTCACGACAATTCGAATATATACTACAATAACTACTTTTGAAACAGACCTTGTTGATCATAAAAGAAAGTGCAAGTGCTTTGGTTCACTCAATTTTTAGTTATTTGTATTCATCAACTGAAAATGAAATAAATATCTAAGTGTTAACATGAATGTAATCGTAATTTAACGGTATCTCAAAATCCGTTAAAAACATATAATGTACTAAATTAGACTTCCTCGTGAAGCTAAAAATAATGGCGTCCACAAAATTTCCATATGTCTATCCGTTCTCAAGATATAAGGCCGTATATGCTGTAATAAATTTGTCTTAAAAGTTGTTCAAAAATTGGTCAAAGGTTATTTGGACAGAACTTCTCTCGCCGTACAAAAACATAACTAGCGTTTTCTAAAAATTATAAAATTTGATTTTTGAAATGGAGTGAGTTGACTCCATTCATAATTTTTTTGTTACTTTGTATAAACAGTTCTAAAAAATATGAAAGCAATGATAAATCACAACTATAGACTCATCATATTGTGCATATTTTTCATTGGATTTATTCGCCAAAATTTTCGGATGACGCCATCAATTTTTTTGGGGTGGATAAACGGATACATTTTTTTAACCATTTAGCATGCTTACCATAACCTTAAAACGTTTGCAAAATTTCAGAACATTTGGTTTTACAGTTTCAAAGTTGAATGTTAAAATGTTGTTATAAGTATTATTTTTTATTGTTTTCCAAAAATCTGTATATCTAAGGTAAAAAATTAATACGGATTCATTCACTGTAGGAGTATGTCATTTTATAAAACCACTTTTTTGGTGGGGATGATTAGACAAATTTTGGTTAGCGTTTTAGCATATACACAATATTCCTAAAAATAAAGATATCTACAAAATTTTACAACAGTAGGTCCGGTAAAGACTATTACCTGTCTAATAAAACGACGAAAGACGTCAGATAGCCAGACTGAAACGGAAGACCTATTTATTTTTCATACTGCAGAGATGATGAAATGTCGAGAAAGCGTGAAAAAAAGTGTATTTTCCTGGAAAGGTCTGCTTTCGGTTCACTCATTGTGTGGATGTTTGTGGAATTACCGCAAAGCAGCAAGTTTAGGACGTTTTAGGTCACAAAAATCAGTTTTAGGTCACATATTTTCATTTTAGGCAATTAGGCAATTATAAAGTAGGCTCAAATAACGTTATTTTTTGCGAAACACATTTATATCTAAGTTTCATGTAAATGCCTTAAACAGGAACAAAAAGGCAAAAAACCTAAAGTCCGGGCTCTAGTCATTCACTGGATGGACTGTATTACAGCTTAGGCTTAGGGAAGTAAAAAGCAACATTTTTAATTTATGTCATTTGTGAGCTTAAAAGATTTGTTGATGTTTCCATACATTTTGCTTATTATAAACCCTAATGTCGCTAATTTGTTTTGATCAAATACATATTTATTTTAACATTGGAAGAAACCAAAATTTTTCAAATTTTTCGGCAATTATGCAGCTGTTTTTGCCTGTATTTAATCTAAAAAAAATAAGATTTCAGTAAATACAAAGACCGAAACAAATATGTAAGCTTCTTTTTCCACTCACCACTCTAGTATATAATCCAAGAAGTAAAAAGATGCGCGATTTTATAATGAACATAACGTTTTTACATTTTTTAAAAGTTGCAAAATGATCCTCAAAATATTAATGTACAGTTATTTATATAGAATTACCTTTGCCTTTGAAGTACACTCAAATAAATCCAGTTTCTTAGACAAATTATAAAATTTCATTCGTCGAATTTTGCTTTTTTGATGATAACACTTGTAAGTTAAAATAAAAATAGGGACAGGTGAAAAAATTGGTCGAAGGTTATTTCGACAGAACTTGCCTCGCTCCAGAAGGGTAAATAACACCCCCTCAATCCCTGCGCCTCGAGGGTGTAAATTCCAAGGGAACAAATGCGGACAAAATGAAATATATTTAAAACAGATATTCAATCGGAAACAACGTATTCTTAATTCCAAGTACTTGTTTATCTTTAACTGTTTTGTTTATATTTATGCTTCGAAAGGATTCGAGTATTAGCACGTCATATCGTATCAGCGTCGGCATTGAACTACGTAACGGTGACATTAAATGTATGCATCTGTATTAAAAGAAACTGACCTTTGACTGATCTTGTCTCTTAAACACAGAAGAGAGGATCAATTAATTAAGTAAGCATTGTCGGTTTTTTGTCCAAAAAGTATACCTAAATAATAGGAAGATAATACAACAACAAAATAAATTGACTGATTCATTATTTTTTTTTTGTCACCGTGTATAAGCAAATATAAAAAATATGCATGAAATGATAAATTATAAGTATAGACTGATCATAAGTATTTTGCACATTATAAATAGGATTTAATCGGCAAAATTTTTAGATGACGTCATCAATTTTTTGGGGTTGATACACAGATATATTTTGATTAAAAAGTTACCATGCTTATAATAACGTCTGCAAGATTTTAAAGTATTAAGTTTTACAATTCTTGATTTAATAAATAAAATAAATTGACTGATTCATAAATTTTTTTGAGTCACCCTGTATAAGAAAATCTAAAAAATATGAATGCAGTGATATATATAGTATAGACTGATTATATTTTGCACGTTTAAGATTAGAGGAGGATGGGCAAATACATTTTGATCAAAAATTTGCCATGTTTATGATCACCTTAAAACATCTCCATGATTTCAAAACATTCGGGTTTGCATTTCCTGATTAAATCAATAAAATAAATTCATGCATTCATTAATTTTTTTGAATCACCCTGTATATGCAAATCCAAAAAATATTAATGGAATGATGAATCACAAGTAGCGACACATCATATTTTGTACATTTTAGATAGGATTTATTCGACAAAATTTTAAACTGACGTCATCAATTTTTTGGAGGGGATAAGTAAATATATTTTGATTAAAAATCTAGCATGCTTATCATAACTGTAAACCATCTGCAAAACTACAAAGCGTTCAGTTTTGCAGATTCCAAATTAAATTACAAAATGTTGTTTCATAATTTTGATGTTTTTCCAAAAATCTGGACGATTTGCGACTTAATTTTAAATCTGCAAAACCGAATCTTTTGAAATATTGCAGATATTTTAAAGTTATGATAAGCATGAAAAATTTTTCATCAAAGTATATTTACTTATTCTCTCCAAAAAATCGATGACGTCAGCCTCAAAATTTTGCCGAATAAATCCTATCTAAAATGTACAAAATATGATCAGCCTGTACTTGTGAATTATCATTCCAATCACGTTTTGGATTTGCTTATACAGGGTGACTCAAAAAATTAATGAATGCGTGAATTTATTTATTTGATTTAATCAGGAACTACAAAACCGAATGCTTTGAAATCTTGGAGATGTTTTAAAGTTATCATAATAAGCATGCTAATTTTTTGATCAAAATGTATTTGCTCATCCCCCCTAAAAAACTGATACCGTCACCTAAAAATTTTGCCGAATAAATTCTACCCAAAATGTCCAAAATATGATGAGTTCTTACTTGTGATTTATCATTGCATTCGTATTTTTTAGATTTGCTGTACTGATGAGACCAAAGAAGGTTGAAACCGTAATCTACATCTTTTCATTGGGTTGTCTAGCTTTTTGCGTTTAAAGTCAGACATTTTTTAACGGTAAAAATAAAGTATACCTAACGTTTATTATTCACAAACACCGAAAATACAAAATAACAAAAATTGTTTTGTACGTTTAGCGTTATAGTGTAATAAACGTTATACTGTTATCGTGCACCAAGACATCGAAGAAGATTCCGATAAAACCATTTTTTAAATGCTAAGTTACACTTTTTTCTGAACATTGATGTTGCTTAAATTTCAAAAATAATCTAGTAAAATTTAATACAAGTGATGTTGTTTATACCACAAAATCTACAAATAATGACAAAAGAGCGTTAAGCTTAAAAATCTTGACTTCCTAAAGAAATTTCGAACATCAAGAAGCCGCAGAAATATATATATATTTAATTACGTATATTTACTTATATTTAGTATTTTAAAACACATTAGTTTCTTTAGCATTTGGAAATATTAAGCAATAACAATATGGGTTAATCTTCAATTTTTTGGGTTTTACCGTCTAGATGACAAGAATTTCACTTATCAGCAGTAAATAGTAAATGAAAATTATTAATAAGTAATTGTTTAAAACAAAAACCTATTAGTATTCGCAAGTAAATTTTCCAAGTTGAACTTTCAAAAGTTAATAATCTACGGCTGTGGTAGAATTTGTATCTGGAGTTTTGTTCCTTTAATCGTTACTCAACATTCCATAATTCTTTTGCAAGGCTTGGCTTTTTCATATAAAATATATGTCTTATAGATAAAAGAAAACAACGATGCGTATAACGGAAACTGTCCTTAAGGACATTATATTACCAGAAGTTATGTTTGGCAGTTAATTATATTGTTGAAAAGTTGCCAAAAAAAACAAACGGGAAGTCTCACTGTTGTTGTCGATAAATTGTATCCATTTTATTTCGAACAAAGTTATAACGTACAAAGAAACCCTACCACATTCATATTAAAATGTTGGATTCGACATACAGACAAAGTAAAATTTCAACACTGCGCAAAATAAAACTTATTTGTAGATTAAACATCGTGTTTTTGTATTTCAGGAGTTTGAACCATTCCCTAGATTTAGTACGGACAGAAACGGCCAGGAGTTAAGAGGAGTAAAAGTGGAAGAGCTTCTGATATGGAAAATCATTCGGCAACACGGAGTGACGTTCGTCCACAATTCCCACGAAAAATAGAAAAGATGGTGCATAAAAAGTGCTTTGTTGTTGGAGACATTTGTAACGTTTTTAGAATTAACTTTGAAGTAAATGCATTGTTATTTTTGCCACAAATATATTCTAAAAATCACATGTTAATAAAACAAATTTCAGACTTTTACATGCAATGTTTAGTGCAATCAGCTAATGCATTTTGCAAAGGTTCACAAGTGATAGATAAGGTGTTCGGTTTCGTGAAGGTAGGAACTTAGGAAAGCTCATGTCATGCAGTTTAACGGAATTATCCTTATCTCCTAGCTGCGGAGAGTCCCTAAGTGTTAATCAAATTATAAATAGCCACTGATTGCGAATTTCATCCAAAACAAAGAGGGAATACCTATGTGTAAGAATAGCAACATGGTTGTGTGTGTGGTTTACCAAAGTTAGTCAATGAATTCAGCAATACTGAAAACAGCCTCACTGCTTTCTATTTGAACGTGATCTCGCAGTCATTTTTCTACTAAATCAAAACTTTACTATAATTGCCTACATTTTCTAAAACACTTTATGCGTGAGAGTGCCACAGCAAAGCAGCGAGGTTGTTGAGGTGTAATATGAAAAAAGTACTACGACTGGCCAAGCTTATTTTTGTCTGTGATTAAATTAATTTTAAGCAAAGTAAATGTAAAGATATTGTTACATGACCTTATTTTGGAAATACTTATTTTTATTAATACTATTTTGCATCCATCGGACGGAAACAGAGATTTAGTATGTCTTTACAAGGCGACGTAGACTGCTTTACAACAAATTTTATACTACAATAGCCATCGAGAGCGTAACGTAAATTTACGTACCAGTATCTTATTTCAACATGCACGATTTTCTGTTTTATTTTGTATTTAAATGAAAGTTACAATAATAATGCAAATAATGTTGTTAGAAATGTTGGTGTGATAGATGCCCTTGTTGTATGTGTCAATCGCTACATACTAAATCATGAAAAAAAGTTGTTACAAATTGTTTTATTTTCACATGTTTAGAAAGTTATTATTAAATATCACAGATAATGTTTAATATATTTTTTATTTTGATCAACAATGTCTTTTGCCGTGAAATAATACCTGCATTTTTATTTTTGTGACTCATAACTTTTATAAACGTTATTACGATCACAAGACAAAATATATAAATCAAAAGATTTGCCAATGCCGACTATATTATATTTAGAATCAGGTATTATAAGCGGTAATAACGTACAGTAGGTAATAATTTTTGTAATTGCACAGATGTTGAAGCGCATATGATTTCATTCCTAGCTTTAATTTATTCTTTTGAAATAATAATTATTACAAAACTGTTTGCCTGTATATTTTCTTTCATCTTCTCCCATCCTCATATCTGTCTCATTATCATTGAATATCATGTAATAAAAACTAGTCAGTCCATTCATAATCATAAAGTCCATCCTTTCTAGATATGCATACAAGCTTATTATAGACAATCGCATACCTCATTTTGTTTTTATATAATTTTATAATGACGAAAATATCTACCACAAAAGCTAAAAAGCGAGACTGCACATTTAGATATTTGTATAAATACTGTTATTAAATGACATACACTTTGTAAATACGTACATCTTATTTAAGAAAACTTAAGAAACGCATAAATTATTTATTATACATATTATATTATCATGCCCTACATAATAGACATATCATGTAAATGTTTGTTAAATTAAATAAAAATAATTGTTCTCCAAAAAATGTTCAATGTATTTATCAGCTGATTAAATTGCATTTTCCTATAAGCCCTGGTTTATTTTTACACACTAAAAATCCCAACAAATTAACTCATCGTTTTGATAAGTACATAGATCAGCATATTTATTGTTTTTCAAATTTGTGTTTGTTCTGATAAGATTTTTATATGTAGGTATGTACGAGTATTTAAATATGAAAACCGTTTTTAGTTATTTTTATTTTTTAATTGTTAAAACTGATTGTCATTTTATACAATTCCCATTGTAAAAAACTACTAATCTAAAAGATGTTGCAAGAAAATTAAACAGCTTTTGTTCTCTTACAAGCATATTGGAGATTTTATCTCTGATAAGTGATAAGTTGATAACGCTGCAGAAAGTATTGCGTAATAAATACTACTATCTGTTTTTAATAGACAATTTAATCTTATAGTCAACTCTTCCCAATTATCCTAAAAAGTTACGAAAAGTATTGAGTCTTTTGGGAACATTTTGAAATATTTGAATTTTGACTTTAAATTTTGAGAAAATGTCGACAATTAAGAATTTTTTGGGTATAAATAATCTAAAAATAAAGAAAAATAACTTCATCATCGTGGTTTTGCAATAATTTGTGTTCTTCATGTAATGAACTAAAAGTTTAATAAATCAAGATAATAATGGTATATTACAAGGCCTAAATTAATATGCACTTCTACACATTTTGTGCAGTTCAAAAACGTATTTGTGCAGCTGGAAATTGCAATTTGTGCAGTAACTTTTTCACATTATTAATATTTTTAGTTCCCGAGCGTAAGTTAATAGTATTACCATTGACGCCGGTTCATCCCTTCACCGAAAAGAATCGAAGAATTTTTATGATTTTGTTTGTCAAGTTGGAACCTCAAGAAACCTCAGATATGCTGTTTTCGATCTGTCACTTACATACCCGCTTAACAATAACACTTATCTCAGTGATTTCGAAAAAATGCACAACAAAAATTTATCAGTCCTACTTGCGGAGTCGTACTGCCTTCACAGCTGTTATCATTTTGGTTTTTTCTTGCATTGGTAATGCGCTGTGACTAATTTTCTTTTGCACTATGACAAGTAACTATTATTTACGTTATTGGCGTCATCACAAATTTTTTTAATGATCAAATTAAAAACGTGTCAGAGAGCGGATTGCTGTCGGGCTAGGCAAGGCCAAACTCGGTACTCGGTACGGGATGGGAATTGATTGCAGTTACGGGCTGCACTTCGTTTATTTGAGATTAGAATAACGCTGCTTCGTTGCACTCTGCTGTTAATTCCCGTTCTCATTTACTTAGCCGTTTGATTAATAAATCGTTAATTGTATTTATGTAATAAGTGACGATTAAATTCAGTGATTTTATCCATCACCCGCTACTGAGTCCCGGCGATCCAGCGCGTCCCCACCTATAATCGTGACGTAGCCCGACAGAAATCCGCTGTCTAATAATGACAAAATAAGAATTATAATAATAAAATTCAGAACATTTTGTTCGATTGTGGCTTAATTAATTATTTTAGTCCTCTGTTTCGGGAAGACAACACACAAACTTTTGTGATGTACCTTTAAATAGTGACATATGTATTAATAGTGTCTGTATTATGACTATTTTAGAATTTTGTTTATATCTTTAAAATGTATTTATTTTGAATTGCGTTTTAAATTTATTCAGGCTCTTTATTACTTGTGGACACCTGTATATGTAATTTACGTCTTAGGACTACAAGGCCTGCAAAAACTAGCACTCATTACTGGGTTCTATGTTTTTTTAAACTTATAGAAATTATCGAAGCCAAAAGGGCAAGGGCCTGTAACGCTGATTTATACTGGGCATTTTTTTTTAAACTGAACATAAGCCTATGTTCAGTTTTAAAACGACGCAGTCAATTACAACGGTACTGCAACCAACATTACAACAACTCCATTGCGTTGACAGCGTCGTTTTAAAACTGAACATAGGCCTATGTTCAGTTTAAAAAAAAATGCCAGGTATACTTATTTGGACATACATTATACACACGACATAAGAATTAAGAACACTTTACTGTTAAAACGGCATGAACGTTGTTTGTACCATGTAGGGTTACCGAAGCTCAACCGGAGATTCTATATGAATTACGAAACAACACATAGCACATATTTATGTTTTGTGAGCACATACTTAGGAATAACATAATATATCCAATACTGTTGACCAAAAATCACCAAATTTTTCAAAAAACAAAACTTCGTATCTGCATTACCTATGCTATTTGCTGACTTGACACAAACACATTTGATACGAAAAATTTAGATGACACCCAAAATTCCCAAAAACCTGAGATTTGGGCCGAAAACCACAGACCCGGCAAACCTAGTATAGTACTGGCTATAGTACTGGCATAGTATCATGTCTTGCTAATAAAAAGTGACAATGTTTATGTTTTATAAATAAAAAATAAGTTGAAATCAGCAGCAATAAAGTATTTTTTCACAGAAAATAATGGCACACCTAATAAACTCCCTTGTCGATAGAAATAATATGCTTTATAAATACAGGGTTAGTCACGAGAGAATTACTTCTGAAAATTATTTTTACGCAACCCAAAATACTAATACCCTGTACCACTTGATATTATCTAAATTTAAAATGAAATGCCTAATCCATGATTGCTTTGACTTCGGCAGTGTCACTTTGACGTTAATTAATTTTTAACATTTTTTTTCATCGTTGACTCGCCTCTAGAGCCCCATTGGATCGACGACATACAGTCAGATCAATCTGGGCTATACTGAAGCCGTAAGTGCTCTACCAATGTTGTTCGCCGCTAATGTGCGCCATCTCTGTGTCACCTAGAGCCTCTTTGAAGTGCAAATCTGCAACCTCTGGACTTCTTCAGCCATCCATTTACAAAAAAGCCGTAGCATCCCCCCAAAATGCCCAACATTTTCAACAGATTAGTAGTTAAATTATTTACTTACTTGTTTGAGTTTGTGTTGTAACCTTTGAATAAAATATCGTAAAAGGAATTTTTAGAAATAATTTTCTCGTGATTAATCGGTTGTAAAAGATCAAGAGGCACACTGATAAATTTATTAGCGGCGCCGGAGGAGATTTCCGACTGGCTGCGGTACCACCATGGACACTCGCGTAACCTCATTTTCCACAATTGTCAAAATGAGATTGCCAAACTCAAAGCAATCATGGATTAAGCATTTCATTTTAAATTCAGTTAGTATCAAATGGTACATGGTATTCGTATTTTGGGTTGCGTAAAAATAATTTTCAGAAGTAATTCTCTCGTGACTAACCCTGTATATACATATTTGAGGTGGTTTACATAGGTAAGCAACCAATATTACACATTGGGCTATTGGAGAAGCAGACAAATAATACTTATATATACCTTTTTGCAGGATGGGGTGATTTGAGGTGTTTACTAATAAGAGTAATAAGTCGACAATGTTATTAGATCTAGTAAGCTATGGTTACGAATCACTGAACACTGATCAGCAAGTTATTTACTTACAGTGTTGGACAGTATCTAGATACTTGTATCTAAAAAAAGTATCTAGATACATTTTTGGGTATCTAGTATCTGTATCTAGATACAATCGAATTTAAGCACAAAATATCTGTATCTAGATACAAAATTAATGGCGCATATACAGATACATTTTTTTATTTCACTTTTTTTCAGTAGTTATTAGTTGAGTAATACTAGTAGTAATTTTTGATACTTATGTTTGTGATTTTGGTCACATAAACAAAAACAGAGGTAAGAGGTCCACTAATAGTGTTCTGTCACGGAAATTTTCATATTTTAAATACCATCATTTCCTACATTGTAGCCTTCAGTACTTACACATCTTTAAATATAATCCTGAGGGGTAATAAATCTAAGCCATGGTAAGATGTTATTTTAAAAACCATAAACCACAATTCACTATTCACTGCGTTTTACCCTTATCCGGGACAATGCATTTTATCTGTGTACCTGAGTAACCCGGGTCCGGTAGGCCCGCTGGTTGTATTTGTGTTATTAAATAAGAGTAATTTTAATAGTAAAAACATTTGTTTAACGTATATTATTATTTTTAGAAAATAATAATTGCGTGTTACATAATGATAATTTTTTTAAATTAGCACAAATTAGTTCTGTAATCGACTAATCGAATGTTCAATACATACATTTCTCTCACATAAATCGCATATTTGTTACTGTTTTATACCTTTATTTTTCAGACAAATGTAGCATGTTTTCCTGTTGCCATATGTGTCATTTCTTCACTTTTTCATTGTTGGACCTAACGCGAGGCGGGCTTGGCAGGTCCGTTTTGCCCTAGAATGTGGCGATTATGTTTAAGTGTAAATCTTGGGCAATAAAATTAATATTTTTACAACCCTCGGTAGAATAATTTATCGTGACATATTCTCAGAGACCGTGAAACGAGATTAAAATAAAATGAGTTTCAACAAAAATCTGAAAATTTAAAGTAGTACTCTGGTGATTTCGGCCTGCCAGGCAGCCTTTGATCCTATAAGGGGTTTAAATACCTTTCTAAGAAATTGTACTTATTTTGACGGAACCAGCAGTTCTTTCTAAAATGTATATACCTGCCGCATCGGGATAGACGATTACCGTACATGGTCATAAAAACATCGTAAGCCGATATTGAAGAATAATAAATTTATGACAGGTTGCCGACAACAGACCTTCAGCACAGAATAATCATTTCCCGTATTCTTTTGAAATATTAATTTTAATGCTGAAGATAATTATTATATATACTCAAACACAATTTGGCTACTGTAGTATGGAAATAAAAACAAAAAAAATATTATTTTTAAGCCTACATAATAAATATTGCACAATTTGCGACACATCAAAGAGCGAAGCGATGGCCTATTTGCAGGAAAAAAGAAAAGATTTTTCAGTCTTGAATAACCATGCTACAGTAAAATGTTTATTTTTTAAATTTAATACCACAATCCCTTCTTCTGCACCTGTGGTGTGTGTGTGTGTAGTAGCGGAAACCAAATTCGTACATACACCAAGAAGAAATAATTTAGGTAACAATACGTTCGAAATGTTGTTAATTTTAAAAAATTCATTAAACAATACATAAAAAAAATACATAAACATGTTTTCAGTTATTTTATTCGCCAAAGCTTCAAAAAATATCTTGTATCTGTATCTAGATACATTTCTAAAAAATCGAAAACAATCTGTATCTAGATACTTTTAAAAGTATCTGTCCCCAACACTGAATGTTCCTAATCGCATTACGCCAAACTTATCGAAGAAGCGGCCATCCGGGCTGCAGCTTTGGTTGAAGATGGTCAGACCCAACGCTATGTGGCCAATCTGCTAGGCGTTGATCGTTCGACCATTTCTAAACTAATGCAAAAGTACTATACTACTGGAAGCATGAATAGAAGACTAGGACAAGATCGTAAACAGAAAACATCACAACGAGACGACCGATTTTTGCGCTTAACAGCACTCAGGTCGCGACACTGCACAGCAAGAATGCTCCAAAAAGAGATTTTAGCTGCCCGCGATGGGGTGCTGAGCTGAGTACTCAAACGGTACGAAATCGTTTGCGAGAAGTTGGTATGGGTCAAGAGTACCTGCCCAAAGCACCCTTGCAAGCGATATTTGCCTATTAATATTCTTGGAGATCTAGAATGCCATCGTGCAAGAGTGGGAATATCTTCTGTAAGAGTACATTAGGGGTTTAATCGAGAGTATGCCTCGACTAATGCAGGCTGTTATTAGAGCTAGAGATGGAAATACTTCGTATTAATTTGACTTTTGTTTGTGTTGAATTGTTATTAACATTTAATGGCTAAGATAAAAAACCAACTTCTGGTAGTAAATTTTGTTTTGCTCGTTTTGTCTTTATTTTACTTCACTATAAACGCTACAGTCGCCTACAGGAGCATCTCTTATAGTAAATTCGCAAAAACAACGTGTTGCGTAAATTTTTTTGAGGTGTGTATTTCAATAGAATACGGGGAAATGATTATTCTGTGCTGAAGGTATGTTGTGGGCCGTCTGTCATAAATTATCATTATTCTTCACTATCAGCTTACGATGTTTTTATGACCCACGTCCGGTAGTCGTCTATCCCAGCACGTCAGGTAGATTTAAAGAAGAATTGCTGGTTGCGTTTAAGGCAACAAATGGCGCCCAATTCAAACTTGTCTGTTGTCTAGCGTTCCCCCTTATACTGTTTTACTCTATGTACTCTAGTGTTAAAACGTAAATCAAATTTAATTGCTGACCGCTTAATTGTGTGTACTTCACAAGAGTATTTTCTTTATTCTCGTTTAAAGTTAACGTTGGGTTTCTGTCCTATATCACGTTTGTGTTCCCGGTTAATGCTGGACCAGGCTTTGTGCGGCGTTGGCAAATTCAGATTTCGACTTTCGAGCCGTTGAAACGAACTTGAAACAGGAATAGTTTATATTCAATTAATTATATTCAATTTATTCTTCTGTAAATTTGAATATAATAATAGTAACTATTAAGTTATACCGCCCGCAAAACAACGCTTGTACGCTTGCACGTAAACTCCATTGTGTAAAACAATAAAGATAAAAATAAAAATTATCAATAAAGGGTATTAACTTGCAAATTTAATTAAAAAAATATATATAAGGTCACCACGAACAAGTAAATTTCCTTAATATCATTAATGGTTCACAAGATTTTAGCCACTGAATAAGAAAAATAGTTTAAAGAGTCCTCTGATAAACGATGATTAGCTGTCTACATAGCTGTCTAGTCATTCGTCATTCCCCCTAAAGTGTTGTAGTGCGCATGCGTGGATTCCCCTTTTTCACGGCATATTTTCAGAAAACAGATTAGAAGATAATTTAGGGATATTTTGTACGCGTTGCCGGTCAGGTTGGCACTGATACTGCGGGAACAGCAGTGCCATCCATTTGCAAACACGCTGTGTGGTGCTAATTTGACTTTGGTCGTCGGTTGTTGGTGTGGTGTGAAGTTCTAAAGTAAAAACCTTGTTAGTTAAATAACAAAAGTTGTTTTAAGAAGCTTCCACTGAAGTTCACAATGACAACACAACCTCACAGTAGGAAACGAGTCTGCTACTATTACGACAGTAAGTACAGGTTTAATTGCCTTATTTAATTGATTCCATTACAATCGTGTTAATTCAGATGCGATTTTTTAAAATAGCGTCATGAGTTTGCTGAATTTCAACTCATATCTTATCATGTAGTACGATTTTCGAAACTATAAACACAGAAATGCACGGTAGACTACGGTAGCCATATTTTTCGAGTACAGTGATTGGCTGCAGAGGCTTGTGATGTAATGATGACGCTTTTTTGTACGATTCGACGATGTCAAAATAATAGTCGGTTGTACATTTTTACCATGTTGTAGTTCCCTCCAAACACGAATTTTCAAATAAATATCATTTTTATAGGCGACATCGGAAATTACTACTATGGGCAAGGTCACCCCATGAAGCCGCATCGTATACGAATGACCCATAACTTGCTCTTAAATTATGGACTGTACCGAAAAATGGAAATTTATGTAAGTATAAATTAATGACCTATAGCGTGGACAGCCTCATTTATCAATGAATATTTTCTCAGCGTCCTCACAAAGCCACAGCGGAAGAAATGACCAAGTTTCATTCAGATGATTACATCCGATTTCTGAGATCTATCAGACCAGACAATATGTCAGAATATAACAAACAAATGCAGAGGTTTAACGTTGGTGAAGATTGCCCAGTATTTGATGGTCTCTATGAATTTTGTCAACTTTCAGCAGGAGGCTCAGTTGCTGCTGCTGTCAAATTGAATAAACAGGCATCAGAAATCTGTATTAACTGGGGAGGAGGATTACATCACGCCAAGAAATCTGAAGCATCAGGATTTTGTTATGTTAACGACATTGTGTTGGGGATTTTAGAGTTGCTGAAATATCATCAACGGGTGTTGTATATTGATATTGATGTACACCATGGTGATGGCGTTGAAGAAGCGTTTTACACCACAGACAGAGTAATGACGGTTTCATTTCACAAATATGGAGAATATTTCCCTGGAACTGGAGATCTTCGAGACATTGGCGCTGGCAAAGGAAAGTATTATGCTGTAAATATTCCTTTGAGAGATGGAATGGATGATGAATCCTACGAAAAAATATTTGTTCCAATTATCAGCAAAGTCATGGAGACGTTTCAGCCCAGTGCTGTTGTACTTCAGTGTGGGGCTGATTCTTTAACTGGTGACCGATTGGGTTGTTTCAACTTGACAGTAAGAGGCCATGGAAAATGTGTAGAATTTGTGAAAAAGTACAATCTTCCATTTATGATGGTTGGTGGTGGAGGATACACCATTAGAAATGTATCCAGAGCGTGGACCTATGAAACATCAGTGGCTTTAGGAGTTGAGATTGCAAATGAACTTCCTTATAATGATTATTTTGAGTACTTCGGTCCAGATTTTAAGTTACATATCAGTCCTAGCAATATGGCCAATCAAAACACCCCAGAGTATTTAGACAAAATCAAAACCAGACTATTTGAAAATTTAAGAATGCTACCTCATGCGCCAGGTGTTCAAGTACAAGCTATTCCAGAAGATGCCATTAATGAAGAATCTGATGGAGAAGATAAAGTTGACAAGGATGACAGATTACCACAAAAAGATCTAGATAAAAGAATTGTTCCAGAAAATGAATTTTCAGACAGTGAAGACGAAGGTGAAGGTGGGAGAAGAGACAATCGCACATACAAAGGCAGAAAAAGACCGCGATTAGAAAAAGGTATTGATGGTAAAGATGCGGCAGGTGATGATAAAATTAAAGAAGAATTGAAATCAGAGAAAGGTAGTTTCCTCATTTGATATGTTTGTTTGTTTTATAAACACGTGCATTTTTTAGATGAAAAGGAAGATGGCAAATCTAGTACAATTGACGACCTGAAGAAAGATACGGGACCAACTCCGTGACACAGTTCTACTTCACAATATTCTAAATATAAATGACGTCAATAGTTAATTTTTTTAAGCTGTTCATAGTTTTATTTTGTGATAAAGCTGTACAATGATTACAATTATATAAACTGTAATTTTTATAAGTATTGTGGACAGAACCTCATGTGGTAAGAAACAATCAGTAGGTGGAAAATTGAAACTTTATTATCTTAAACTAATTGGTAGAACGAATTTATACCTATATCACATTGTTGACGTAAACCGATAACTGTTAAATGCAATAATCTGTGTTTTGTCATGTACCTTTTTTACTTAGTCTGTAGATTATTTTGTAAATATTCATTCCATTGAAACTATTTATATCATATCAATCGCGATATAATTACCATTTATAAGATTTCAGTTTTGTAAATAAAGTCTTGTGATTTTATGTTGTGTGACGTACTATCTGCGCTTGTAAGTTAAAATTTTGTAATAAAGCGTGAAATCTAGGCACTTGTTGCTAGAACGGGTCTTGGTACATACTTCACAAGCTAAGAACTCCAAAAAATTTGTACAATTTAAAGGAAATTGAATGTTAATTGTTCTGTGTTTTGTCAATCGCTTTATATTTTGGCTTTTTACTAACAGTGGATGAGCAGTAAAACAAGCATAACGAAATCATGTATGTACTCAGAATTTGTGGAAATTTGTTACTTTCTGGTGCAAGTTGAAATTGGGACTGTAAATACCTATATTACATTTTTGATACTGAGTAAGCAATTTTAAAAATAAACAGTGTCAGCTGAAATATTAAGTAATTATGTAGTATTTCGTCAGTTAACGTTTATTATTTTTTACTATAATCTTAATTTATTAAATTATGTAACCGTTTCTAGAATTGTATAAACATTCGAAAAATCGTTTTTGAGGTCGATGCTTCCTGTTTGAAACGTCCATAAACATCAGTTAAAAAAACGATATCACTGATGCACAAAGAATATTGTATTTTGGCGAATTTTTTAATAACGATTTATGTAATGGTTTATATATGGTTTTGATATAGATATTAATTTTCATATGTAGAATGTAACAATTATAACGTTATTGCATTTTCCGAATTCCATGGAGATTAAGACACAGGAAATTTTCTGAGATAACAAAATAATTAATTCTTTCGTTTCATACCCAACGTTTCCACTGAATGAAGGAGTTTTTCAGTACAAATCAAAATTTCATTTAAATGCGTTAATTGTTATTATAGTAATATAACTTCCTGCAGCCAAATGATTTTCAGATTTGCTTTTAAAGCACAGCTCATGTGAGAACTGATTGAAGTGTTCCAAGAATTTTTTCAATTATTAGTTATTTACGGTGTTTCAGTTTTACGAAATTTAATTTTAAGTTGTCATTTTTTAGCCTTACGTTTTGGCGGACTATCCATTTTTGATAGTTTTTTTGAATTACAGTGTGTGTACTTTTTGGTTTAATTGTGGCAACTTGTGTGTATCTCATTCTGTAATCTCGAATTCCAAAATTGTGACATCTTACATGCGTTGCCAGAATTATTTTTACCATCTGTGTAAGTTTCGTTTTACTGTATTCGGAAAATAATAAAATAAACGACGAATTAGTTAAATAAATTGTAGAATTTATATTTTCTGTACAGGCATTGTCCGCATGTGAAATATAATTTTATTAAATATAAGAGGAGAGTTGTTTTTAAGTTTAGTGAAAATAGTTTCGGGAAATTTCTTAACGTTTAATCTTTTGGAAAACTAGTAACCGTTAAGATTTAACACTTTTATACAATTTATATACGTTTTGAATTCGCCACGTTGGCAACGTTAAGTAATTGGCATGTCTAATTTTGTTAAAAAATACCCTTGTCAAAATCAGTCAGTTATATTTAATTAGGTATTTAGCTGTTCTGAAGTTAGTTTTAAAGTCGGAGACAAAACTTTGTGACAAAATATTTTAGTTTTTGAAATTTCATTATACCCTATAAAATTTTATTGGCCTTAACGAGACGGATAGTAGGACAATAGCAAGAGATATTTACAACTTTAAATTTGTCGCGTGCCGGTAATCCCTCTATGTTAGAAAGCAGAATAATCCAGGTCCGCACAGGGACCATAATTACTCACCATTATTTTACGAGTACAACTACCTACTGTTCTAATGTTCTCCGACAAATTCGTGTGAACTGGTGTGAGCCATAAATATTTCTTATCATTGTCACAGTATATCCATTGTACTACTGTCCGGCTCATTATTGCCAGTAACATTTTATAGGGTAGAATGAAATTTCCAAAACTATACGTAGGATAGTATGATCAGTGACTATGTATTTAACATCTATACTCACAGGTATGGTGTTATTACTTCGGACACGATATCGAGGTTTTTGTTAAACATCTGATTAATAATTAACACAATATTTTGAAAAAATTAATATACATAATTTCATGAATGTACTGCATTTATGACCAAAACACTACATTTTGCTTGTTAATAACAATATTATGAATTAACAAATAGTGTCCGGATTAACCTCTATGTGTCGTGTTACTTCGGGCACACATTAAAAACCGATGTATGATCATAATTATTGTGTATTATGATTTACTTCGGACGGAATTTATTAAAAAATAATTGTCAAAGTAATTAAAAAAAAATTAAGGGTCAAGTAGATACTTGTTTTTCATAACATGTTTATTGGAACATAAAAAAATAAAGAATATAAGTTTTAACACAATATAAAATAAAAAAAAAATCAATTCGGTCTTTTATAATACTGAGTAGGTGTGTACTGGCTTTCCTAAAAATCCGAACACCTTGAAGGAGTTGACTAATGTAACTGAAATTTTCACCAAATGTGTATTAAAAATGAACAAAATCAATGATTAAAATATCAGGGCTGAAACTTATGAAATAAAAATGTTATTTAATGATATGTGGGTCCACCACGATTGTTTATGCACGCATTAACTCGGCGAGGCATGCTCGAGATGGGGTGACTTATTGCGTCTTGTGGGATCTCGTCCCAAGCTTCCTGAAGCCGCATACGAAAATCATTCAGACGATGCGGGGCATTGCTGTAAGGTACCAAGATACCCATGATATCCCACAAATGTTCTATTGGTGATAAATCGGGTGAACGAGCAGGCCAGGGGATAACTTCAACATTATTTCGTTGAAGGTACCTACTGTGTTGTTACTTTTATCGTGTGTGGGTGTGCATGTCTTGCTGAAATAGGGGTCTATTTAACTCCCTCAGGTACAGAATTCCAACTGGTTCCAGTACTGCTTCGACGTATCCTACTGCACTTAAATTAACCCGAATGGGCTCGTACAACTTTGTAATTTAGAAAGTGCTTTTTCTTTGATACGTCATTCCCTGTTTTGAAAAAGTAAACAGTTATCTGTTTTGTTGTAACAAGTAAAGTTCTTTATTATATGAAGTAAGTACATATGTTATACATTATAGTACTTTACATTGACATTGAGTAAGTAGTAAATATCAAAGATTGCTAACAGTTGTATTGTTGGTTGCGTGAAGCTTCTTCTGAATAACTTTGGTCGTTCCTGAAGAAAATGACTCCTCTAATAACTAAAAGTCTATACACGTGTTTGCCCATGTTACTGACTAACATTCTGAATTAATCTTTCTCAAATTCAAATTGGTTTTTTTTCTCAGCACGAAATTTTAATTCAAACTGGGACTGTTTTCGTTATATAGCATACAATCTTTACAAAACAAAGCATGTATCTTCTTTAAAACTCAGACACATGGGCTGCAGTATTTTATGTAGGAATTGTAGGATCTAACATAACATAATAAATTGTGCTTGAATATATATTTCCACAATAAACCTTTTTTTTTTTTTAATTGATGATATATTTTATTTTTGGAATATGTATTTTTATGATATTGACATATTATAAATTTCTACAACTATATTAATTCCTGTTGTTAAAAAACAATTATAACAGTTAACAAATAAAACAGTCACTTATAATAGCTGAAGTTATTGATTTCTTTAGATGCTCAATTTCGTCTTTGTCTATATATTTTCGTTTCACGTCTTTGATTTATTTTATAATTCTCATTGGAGGAAAATACCAAATATAGAGCAAGTGGAAATGCGCCTGTAAAACTCACAATAACAGTAGTCGGCATTATTACCCAGGAAGTTCTATCTTTCACAAGTTCCGCAATACAAACTAGGATCGATAAATATATTACTCCTAAAGCAAAGCACAAGATCCACACCAACAGTGAAACAATTTTGTGAAATAAAAAAACCTTAAAAAACTCGATAAATCTGAAACACTGAAAAATACCTAGTCCTGTTGAAGATATTTGCTCGTACCTATCTGCTTGGTTTACCTTCTCTGACTGTTCGTATGATGTAATGCATAAACAAAGATACAAATATGAAACATATTATAAAAACTAGTAAAAAGCATACTGAGATTGAAATCCAGAATGGAATAATGTTTTCTTCTATAAAGGAGTAATTATCTTTACAAATTAAAAATAAAATACTGGGTACTAGAAGAAGAAGCAAACAATTTCTATTTCCATTTTCTAAAATATGTGGATGTTTATGTTTTATTAGTGGGCAGAAAATGATTACCTTTGGAACTTTTTTTCACTCTCCTGTTGGTACTATTAACAGACTGTACTGCTATAAACAGAGCAACTCCAGAGGCTGTTAAAGAAGCCACAATTAAAACTATCAAACAAATTTCTAATGATGGAAATCTCATTGCGTCCCATGTCTTATATAAACACATTAATGTTAAACTTGTTACCAAGAAACATAATCCAGCAAGGGAAATTCCATATACTACGAAAACGTAAAATTTAGTTTAAACCAACAAATTGTAAAATGCTGGTAGATACCTCTTGTAACTGACTTAGTTTGTCTCGTTCTTTCAGTTCCTGAATTAACATATAATTGGACCAGAAAGTATACAGTGGCTAAGACGACTAATAAAGTCACCATTGCAGCTACTAAGATAACATTTCTGTATGGAAGTATTTTTGATTCTATAAAATTATGAATATTTGTACAATATTTTACAAATATTAAGCCACCAATTACAGTAATTAAGAGAAATTTCTGTCGCATGGATATATTTTCTTCATCTGTAATAGAATGTATTAGGTATATACTGTGGTATTATACATTGTTAGTAGTGGTGTAAAAAAAACCTACCGTTTTCAGTTTGGGCCATTTTATAAAAATGCAAAAAACGTTTATATTTAATAATTCAAAATTAACCAGAGTGATACTATAACCACTATCTTACGACTTTCTTGTCTCGCTGATGACCTGCTGCTCACTGCAGTTTTTGTACTGAACTAAGTGTTTGTTACACTTGACTTGATACTTGATTTCAGGGATGATAAAGGCACGCCTCCATTTCAATAGTATATCACAGTTTTATACAACAAAATTGCGTAATTACTGTAATGTACTAGCTTTGAAAAGGAGATAGAGAATGACAGTTGACAGAATATATAAGTTAGAAAAATGAGCTCGTGTAATTTGAGAAACTAACAATATTACCTACCCCAAACAAGACATCACAATTACGAAGGCCACTCAACCAATTCTTATTGACTTTTGAGATTTTGTTGTGCTAAGCAGTATTATGAAAAATAATAATAATCATATGCACTAATCGTAACCTACCAACCTCGACCAGTCAGTTATTTTTCTCAAAGGCTGCAATTTAAAAACAAATCTGAAGATGCTTGTCCGACTCGAGTTGAACACAGGATAGAAGTAGCAGCACTCGAATCTTAAACCGCGCTCTCATAGAAATTAACTTACAAAAATCGACCTTTTTGTAGCGAATGTCCTAATATTCAAGCAAAAGGACGTAGGTAGTGTGATTAAGGAAAAATATCATATAGCTGAAGTTTATTTTTTATATACAGGGTGCCGCATCCAAGTCTGGATATAGGGAATTAACATGCGAATTGGTTTTTATTTTATAATATCTCCCCAGATCACTTTGAAGCTATTATTGAGTGATGCCTTTGTGGGGGTCGAAGAGGGCTATCGGCCAGTATTTTTTTCAAATCGTTGCATCGCGCTCATACACTGTAAAAAGGTTTTAAAAATGGTATTTTGAAATTCGCGCCCGATCCGATTTGTCGCGAAATGTTCCGTCGTACTGTCGAAGTTCGGCGATCGCGTCTTTCCAATAACGATGCAAAATCCAAATGTCAAAACGAAATTAGAAATTATTCTCATCAGAAATCAACGAACAAGTCAAACTGAATTATTTTATCCAGTGTGATGATTATTGTAGGACAAATTAAACGGAATAAATGCACAAATTGATCCATTCATTCGTCATAGTGCGCGACCCCGTCAAACGAGCCATTTCGAACTACACTCAGACCGTATCCGAAAAGCCCGAGATGAAGACTTCGAGCAGCTGGTCTTCCTCAAAACCCCATCAAAGCCCATCGGCAGTATTGTGACATTTTCTGGGAGCCATCAAGCTAGGAATGTACTCGCGCTGCCTCACTCAGTAATCACTGAACGACTCAAATTGAATTATTTTATCCAATATGACGATTATTGTAGGTCAATTTAAACGGAATAAATGCACAACCGCACAAAATATTTTATTAGGTTATGTTGCTGGTGCTGGTCGAGTCTTTATTACTAAAATCTTATTAAAATGCCATGTTCTACTGCGATTAGATGAAAAATCGAGGGCCCGCTTTTCTTATTGTGTGATGATAAGATTTACCATCATAATAGCTGGCGCTTTTGAAGAGGACCTTTTAATGAACCATTTAGATAACTACAAATAACAAAACGTAACAATTGTTGATGAATTAAGTAATGAAATATTGTACGAATCTGGAGAAGTATTGCACTATTTTCAAGAATTGCTCAAAAACAATGCTCTCAGCAGCTGTACAGTAAGTAAGCCGATCTTCAAAACTCCTACGCGTGTTGATCAGCATTTTAGTTGAAATCTGAAGACAATATTGCTGGATTGCTTGTTTCAGCGCTTCTCTGTTTGTATAGCTTGTCTGAATGCAGATGGTCGTGAAGAAATCTCCAAAGAAAAAATTTCTCAGGGGTTTAGATCTGGAGATTTGGTCCTGGATGTAAAAGACCTGCTGCAGATGCCACACCCTTCGAGTCCCAGGAAGTATTTGCTGAGCTAGCATATTATCCTACTTCTGAGCATTCAATCCGGATTCGATGAAAAAAGGTGCAATGACATGATGTCCTAGAAACCCCAGTCATACACTGACAATTGCACGCCATTGATAACGAAGGTCATGGACCACGTGAGGGTTGTGTAATGCTCAAATTTGATCGTTCTGACGATTATAACTTCCCTTAAGACCAAATGAACGTCAGTAAAACAAATGTTCGTCAAAAACTCTCCATCAGCCTAGATTCTCTCAAGCGTTCCTTCGTAAAACTCTATATGTGAGAAGTAGTCCTCAGGCTTCAATTTTTTGTCATGATGCTTTTTGAAATTCTTCTATCTCATCTGTTTAAGATTCCTAGAAAACGTCGTGCCCACCTGATTTTATGTAATTTTTATCACCTTTGAAAATAAATGTAACTTTATTTTGCGAAATATTATTTTTATTTTTGTTGTTGTTAACACAATAAACAAATAAAACAGTAATACAAAAGTTTCTGAATCCCAAAACACATTCGTAATAGAGAAAAATACTTTAAAATGTTGATGAGTCAATGTTCTACATTTCTCTCTCAAAAATTTCCTGTAATGAAGATGCTTCCTGGAGGCAAAAAATCCATCCCTGCTTAACGAATGTAAAATCAATTGACTTCCAATCTTTAGTGATTCCAAAAAAAAGGGTGAAATCTATCCAAATTACCTACTAATTAAATTAACCGTTGAAGAACATGCAGGCCCCCGCTTTTTCATTTAATCGTAGTTGAACATAGCATAACCTAAAAAAATATTTTGTGCAGTTTGTGCATTTATTCAGTTTAAATTGACCTGCAATAAATCATCACACTGGATAAAATAATTCAGTTTGACTTGTTCGTTGATTTCTGATGAGAATAATTTCTAATTTCGTTTTGACATTTGGATTTTGCATCGTTATTCGTTATTGGAAAGACGCGATCGCCGAACTTCGACAGTACGACGGAACATTTCGCGACAAATCGGATCGGGCGCGAATTTCAAAATACCATTTTTAAAACCTTTTTACAGTGTATGAGCGCGATGCAACGATTTGAAAAAAATACTGGCCGATAGCCCTCTTCGACCCCCACAAAGGCATCACTCAATAATAGCTTCAAAGTGATCTGGGGAGATATTATAAAATAAAAACCAATTCGCATGTTAATTCCCTATATCCAGACTTGGATGCGGCACCCTGTATTTATATGCCTTAACATTTTGTTTTTATTTAAATTCATTTAATTCATTGTTACAGACGCCTTCCTATTACAAAATGCCATTTAAAAAATAATACATAAAATATGATTATTACCTTTTAAATTCCGGTCACATGCCTCATCATCTGTCCATACGGATCTACTGTAAAATAAATAAAGAAAAATAGGAGAATCATTTAGCAAAAGTTTACTTTTTATGTATGTGGTTGAGTGCCTTAATAAAAGTTTTTTTTTAGTTAAAATTTGTTTAATTAATATCGCAATATCGAAGTTTTAGCAGCACTACTTTTCACGATGTCTTTTAATTCCGCACTTAGAACTTAATTAATACTCGCCCAAAAATGACACACCATAAAAAAAATCCTACCTTTTTGGCTTATATTTTTGCTACTATTTGTAGCGAATCCCCTGACTTTGAAAGATACACGTGAAAAATAAATGTACAACTTTTTTTTTCGGAGATTACGCGTGTACTAAAAATCGACACAGAAGACAGACAGATGGAAACGGGAGACATTTTTTTTTGGTACTTTAGAAGTCATAAAACGACGAGAAAACGTAAAACGTACTTCCTAAATCCTTCCTAAAGTAAAAATCTTAATACATTTAGAACAAAAAATAGTAAGTTGACATTTGCTTCAAGAGTTCACATGTCTAAACACGATTTAATCGTGTAAGTAAAACGTAATGCAACTGCAAAGTGATTAAAAATGCAGTGTATGTTCAAATGTTGTGTTTAATTTCTGAGTGATACGGCCTTAAATTGCATTAGATTCTAACAAAAGCCGTGTTAGTTGTTTCACTTTTATTACTTTTTGTTTGCTTGTTACTGTCTTTTATACATTTCTATTAGGCTTCAAAAGTGTTACATTAACAACTTATTGATATTTTCTGTGTAAATTTATTCAGTTTGCGTTTAATGAATTTGAACAGTTTAATCAAGCTGATATAATTTACACGGATTTGGCTAAAGCGTTTGACGTTGTTGACCATCAAATCTTACTGAGTAAGTTGCGCAGGTATGGCGTATGTGATAGTGTTGTTAATTTATTTTGTTCATTATTATGTGATCGCTATCAATATGTGGAATATCATGGCTGTCGTTCTAGTCAATATTCAACTTCGAGTGGAGTACCGCTGGGCTCAAACTTAGGTGCAATTCTTTTTGTATTATTTTTTAATGATGTATTTAGTATTTTTGATTGTCATGTCTATGGGTATGCAGACGATTTAAAAATTGTTACTTCTTTTCCATCAACTACTGACTGTTTAACTTTACAAAATGATGTCAACAAATTCTTCATCTGCTGTGAAGCAAACAAATTGAAAGTTAATAAAAATAAATGTAAGGTAATAACTTTATCTAAAAAATCACAAAATATTTTGTTTGGCTACCGGATAAATGATATAAATATTGAGAGAGTTGATCAAATACGGGATTTAGGTATTATCGTAGACCAATCTTTGTCACTTATATCACATATAGAACAAATATGCATGCAGGGTGTGAAAATGCTAGGTTTTATCAAACGCAATACAAAAAGTTTTCAAAATGTAAATAGTTTACTATCTTTGTACTTTACATTAGTAAGATCTAGATTAGAGTATGCTAGCGTTGTATGGTGCCCCTACAGTTCACATTCAATCTGTTGAACGTGTGCAAATAAAATTTAGTAGATAAATACTTATTTTATGAAAAAAATAAAATGTATCCTTCTCGTACATATGAAATTCTACATTTGTATAACGATCTCAATTTAACATCTAGGAGGAAAATTGCATGTTGTGATTTTATATTTAAACTCATTCACAATCTGATTCAAAGTAGCACTTTATTAGAAAGTCTTTTATTTCAGATTCCCAGAATAAATAGTCGCATTTCTTTTCCCCAATTTTGAATGTGAAGATGTTGTAATAATGTATGTAACAATTTGGATTTCTTTAATGGTAATGTTAATATTAAAAAGATTTTCACTATTTGCAAAGAAGCTATTGAGAATATTAAGAAAGATAATTAAGTACCTTATAATAACCACCACCGTGCGTTATGCTATTTGTTATTTATTCTACAATTTAATTTCTGTTCTGTACATGTTATGTATATTATGTTATTTTCTATTGTTATTATGTTCCTAAAAGGCCTTTGGTCTGTTGGATCGAAATATATATTATTAAGACCCACCACTGACCCGGAAATGACCGGCATTCAGGCAAAACTTCTATCATTACGGGTACTAAGACCAAGTAATGATATGGATTGATTAACAAAACAACTTTCGAGATTCTAGAATTACAGCATACAAATTAGTCTGCTATTATTTTCTAATCTCACCCCATCCCCAAAAATCTAGCGTAATTACCGATCATTTATCCGCGCATCACTTGGAAAGTGACCTACACTACTCTGACCTACTGGTGCTAATCTAATCTGACTGACATGATCAGACTATTCGAGAAACTTACGAACAATATGACATGTTCCTAACAAAACAGCTTTTTGAATTTTGATAATTATTGAATCATTCAAATGCAAAGACTTTAAATTCTCAACTAATAAGCTATTTGGGACTACACCTACATTAGAGATAACTAGGGGTAGAATTGAAATTTTTTTAAGATTCGACATGGATTTCATTTCTATCGATAATTGTAGATATTTTGAAATCTTGGTGTGGTATGTTTGAATAATGTTGTTTGTGTTAGGAATAGCAATGTCAATGAGAATGGCTTCGTTCGTGTGTTTTTTGGTAAGTATGATGTCTGGTCTGTTAGCTGTAATGTTTAAGTCTGTAAGTATTGTGCGATCCCAGTATAATTTGTATTTGTTATTTTCAAGGAACGGAGATGGAATGTAAGTGTAATAGGGTGTCGTATCTTCGATTAAGTTCATAAGTGTTGCTAATTCTTTGTGAATGATTTTGGCTGCGTTGTTGTGTAGTCAGTTTGTGCCAGGATGCTGCAGGAGGAGATTATGTGCTGGATCGTTTCAGGTTTTGCTTTGCAGAGGCGACAGGAGTCGTTTCTTATATTCGGATCTTTGATAATGTATTTTCTGTAATTCTTGGTATTGATTACTTGGTCTTGAATAGCCAACACAAATCCTTCTGTTTCGGCATACAAACTTGATTTTTTTAACCAAATCAATGACATCTTCTTATGGACATGAGTTTCTTCTAAGTCTTTGTAGAATTTTCCATGTAGTTGTTTTTGTTTTAGCCCACTTATTATTTTGTCTATTGTGGGGGGGGGGGGGGGTGGATTTCTTCGGTGTTCGATACATTTAAGTGTGTGTGGTTCAAATCTGCTCTTGTGATGATGCGAAACATTTCATTTCTTTCTGCTCGTTTCAAGAAATACTTCTTCAGATCTGAGATTTATCTCTGATATAAGTTTTCTAGGTTCTGGAAACCCCTTCCCCCATTCTGTCTTGGTAATGAGAATCTTTCAATCGACGATTTTGGATGATGCCTTCTATACTGTGTGAAGATTTTCCTTGTTGCGATGTTTAAATTTTCAAGATCAGTTTTGGACCATTTAATCACTCCAAAAGAATATGTTAGCAGTGGAACGCAGAATGTGTTTACTGCTTTCATTAATTTTTTTCCATTTAACTGTGTCTTCAATATTAATTGTAATCTCGCCAGGTATTGATCTTTCAACTGTGTTTTCGTTTTGGTATGATTGATGTGGGAGGACTGACAGAAACCCAGATATTTGTATGTATCATTTCGTTCTTGGGCTTCGATTATTTCGTTATTCTGGGTTATATGTGGTACTTGGTGTTGGACGCCTTTTCTGATTGCTTGGGTCTTACATTTCTCAATACCAAAACACATACCAATATCACCGGAAAATTGTTCAGTCAGATTTAATAGGTTTGTTAACTGATTTTGTGTACTTGCATATATTTTTATGTCATCCATATACAGCAAGTGACTTATTCTGTTTTCTCTTTGTTTGTTAATTCTTATATTGAACCCATAATTGCAGCTGTTCAGGATATCGGAGAGGGGATTTATTGCTAAGCAGAACTATGGTTCTGCTTAGCAATAAATTATGACGTTATGACGGGCTAAGAGAATCGCCTTGAAAAATTCCTCTTCGGATCATTATTGGATCTGACTCAATTGTTTGTTCATTTAAGGTTATTTGGAGGGTGGTCTTCCAAAATTCCATGGAACATTTGAGAAAAGTGCAGATTTT